CTTGTCGAAAGGGACTCGGCCTCCTCGGGATCGGCCGGACCAGTACAGCATTTGTTTAAGTCGTGTTTTCTTCGCCCGAACAGACCAGTTGGTCGCAGAATGCGCGAGATGTCTGCGCTTTCCAAGTCCCGAACAATGGGATCTTCAACCAAAAAAGCCTCAATCAAAGACTTGGCGTCAGGGTCTCTGTCCTAGTACCTCTCGTGCCTCAGTTTGGGCGGATTTAAACGGTGCTGTGAAGCTCGAGGTCAATTCCGGGCGAATCTGTTTTTGGAAGACGCAAATCGGAAAAAAAGCTGCTCTTCTTCGTGATGGTACACCTCTCAGCTGGCCTACAAGAGGTGGGCTACGAAGACAAAATGAAGATTTTGGTATAATTTTTATAAAATAAATGTACAAATCAAAGCTTAACCGAAATGGATCTGTTTCGGGGGTCGGTGAGTCCTGGAGTTGTACGCTCAGGACAACAGTCACGATGCCAAAATGATGTTGCTTTGGGTTTTAAACCATTTCCAGCAGTGCCTCAACCACATGCACTAGACGCCTCTTAAAAAAAGCTGCAATTCATTCGCCCCCCCCCTCCCCAATGTCCGTGGCCTAGGCTGCGAAAGCGGGCCGAGGAACGTGTGTAATGTCGGGATAATATCCTTTTCACGAGGTCTTATCTCCACAGCCCGAAAGCACCGGATCACCCCGTGCGGCGGAAGACATGTTTCTGTGCTCACAAGATAAGGCGTCGGTTAACAAAGCTGTATGGAGCCAAGGTGAGGGTGAGGGTGAGGGTGAGGTGAACTGAGAGGTTAGGCGTCATGTCGACAGTTGGGCAGGATGGGTGCGATATTGTTACGCAGCTGAAATGATAAGAAGAATGCTGCCGACCTGTCGTCTGTACGACACGTTGGCTTGGTCGATTGTCTTCGAAGGCGTGAGACCAAAGCTGGTTGTGAACCGGTGCCTCCCCCTCGTCTTGTTCGGGTGGGACACTTACAAGGCTGGCAACATTATCACCTCGACACAGTCGGGGGAAGTGAGTCGCTAACTTGCCACTTGGCGTTACACCATCCGCGGGCGGTCCGCCATGTTGGCCTGTTTCAGCTCGACGGTTCGCATGATTACGTCGTCTGGTCGGACAATCGACAACAGTGGCGCGTTTTCTACGATCCGACTTTTCATCGGAGCGCCAGATTCGGATGCTGCATGTCCATAAACGCTGGGAGAGTTGTCAAATGCCCATCACATGAAGAAGTAACCAGCAGGAAAGACTACAAACACGGTCACACTTAAGCTCGCTCTGTGTGTGTGTATGTGTGTGTGCAAGAGAAAATTGGTGCATCTTATGAGTAAATAATTAAAAAAACACATAAATTGATGAAGTCATGATGACTACCAATTACACCAATCGGACAAATTAATCCTCTTGTAAGTAGTCAAATTCATACGAATCCTATTCAGCCCAATTTGGGCATTATGTATGGGTTATATTTCCAGTCCTTAGCGTGTAGCAAGTCGGCAAGACTGGATTTTCACCCGAAATCATATCATATCGTCAGGACGTGATAGAGACAGTATAATATGTTGGAGGTTAGGCTTCAAAGTATTCTCCACTCTGCTAGTGCCCTTCGGCCGAAACGAACGATCGGAAGAAAGTGATTTGAAGCCATGCTGCTATGAGGATAAAAATGACTATGAGATGTATTCACCCTATTTCGTGTAAAGTGATGAAGGACTGGTAGTAGAATTTTCCCACAATGATA